AGTTGGTAGAGCATGGCGTTTGCAACGTCAGTAAACAGCCACATTGTGAAGAGCTACTGCAACTAATAATCCAACTATTGTCTGTTTTTATCTTCCTGATTTGTTTCAGTAGATTAAAATTAGTCTTGCTATGAAAATATTTGGTCATAGCTGTAGATCAGATGAGGGTGAGTTGGCAACCTAGAGGAAGTCTTTTTTTTCCCCACACAGCAAATTCTCCAGTTTTAAAAATAAAAAGAACACTGAAAGTGTTCAGTCTGTGGACCCATATAGACACAGGAACAGTGTTAATTTAACACTCTGCTTAGTGTAAAGCCTTATTTAAATATTTCCCAGAGTGCCTTTCGAGTAAATTGTAGAGTTACCACCTAAGACTGTAATTGTTAGTGACAGAGACATGGTTGTTGCATTTATCAATTTTCTGTCCTATGGACTTCACCAAGTGAGATCATAAGGGAACATGTTATCATAAAAAATATATATATTTTAGGGCCTAGTTTTTCCGTAATACAGAGGCCTGAAACTCATACACATTACTATGAACCAAAACCATGCCCATCATTATCATATTTCCAGCATGCTCTTTTGCAGGTTGATTTTTTGAATTGTTTGTTTGATATCTACATATGTTTGTGCATGTACATTGATTGATTAATTAATTAATGTTATGCTACTCAAATATAAATTACAAACATTTTCTAAACTGATCCAATATGTTACTTGGACTTATTTCACCGGTTACTGAAATGTTTTTTCCAGTTTAGATGCTTTAGGTAGTCACATAGCTTAGGCTGCATTTACACAGGCAGCCCAATTCAGATCACCTCTGAAAAAGATCTGATGTGAAACGATCTGAAGTGATTAGTCAAAAAATATCAGAATTGGGCTGCCTGTGTAAACGCAGCTATAGTCTTCCCAACCCTGGCAGTCATTCTGAATACAGGTTGCAGGTGATTCAAATTCCAAAAGTTGGATATCCCCACACTGGCACGATTTCAATAGGAATTGCTAGCTTAATTATGGACTCTGTCATACAGTACAGGCTTTTAATGTTTGTTGTCCTAGGCTACCTGGCTAAAATGCTTGCTCACTAGCCTAACTTCCTTTCATGGTCAACGATGTGACAGGTCAGCTAGTTAACATTAGCCAGCTAACTACATCTACTGTAGCTACATGTTGAACTTCCATCCTCTCAGGCCAGGGGCAAAATGTATGAATTTATGGTTGGATCAGAATCGCTATTATAATCATCATATAATCCAAGTCCAAATCCCTATCTCCATCCATGGCTTATGTAGGAAAGGGACGCTTTTAGCTAGCTAGCCACCAGAGGACACACAACGAGATGTAACAATTAAAGTTTTCTGTCAGTGACGTTTGGTTTCTAATGTGATGTGATTGGTGTGAAGCCAAATCCAAACTGGCTTCCCTTGACCCTTTTTTTTGGTGCGCCAGGACCATTCACAGCTGAGCTCACTCAGTTTAGCTTAACTCTGATTGGCTACATATTTTTTTTTTTTTATTATCAAGGGAGGCCAAATGCTTGCTGGCTTCCCTTGCATTCAACGCTAAGGGCGGCAACAATGTCATACTCTTTTAGACCAGATGGCATAGATGGGTTACACATACAGAGACAGAGGGGCGCTGTTTCGTTCACTTGGATGCTACATTCAGCCTCTTGTGAATTTATGGAAATGTATGAAACACAGAGAGACAAAATATACATTATTTTGTATGTTTTTTTCTTGGTCCTTTTTTGGGGGAAGTCTGGCCTCCCTTGGCATCCGCGAATACATGCCACTGCCGGCTCAGCGACTCCAGAGACATGCTCCCAGCCTCCGACCACCGTCTGTCATATGCGGGCAGGGAAATAGATCATGAGCATAGAGAAGAACAATACATGTTTAGAACTGATAATTGATTGCATGGTGCAAGAATGAATGCAATTAATTGATTTTTGAATGTTATGATGGACACAGCTTGGTAGAACCAAAACATACACAGCTTCTTCTCAACAAACTCGAACTCGAAAATGAAGCGTTTGGGTGGCTGCAGTTCACTAACAACATTGTGTTTATCACCCTCACCGCAGTCAAGCAATGCATTCTGCCAAAAGTCGTTCACAATCTAGTCAGGTTGCGGCCACAACTAGACCTCGTTTCAAATATATCAAGAAATAATCATATTTGTATGCCTATATAATATAGGCTTATGTTGTTTAAAGCACACATTTACAAGTCTCGGTCACAAATGACAGCTCCAATAAGCCTCATATGGTGAATGACATGTGAACGAGAGGCTTGTAGAATCGTACATCTTTTGAGTTTTCAGTTTATCGTTCACCGGTAGGGGGTCCTGCGTGCTCTGGGCATTACTGACTCAAATGAACAAAATGAGTCTAAAGATTCATTATTTTGACTGAACGAGTCGAAAAGATCAGAGTCAGTAAAAGGAGCCGAACTTCCCATCCCTAGCCTCTTCCTCTCTGGTGATGTGTAATTCCTATTAGAATCCAGCCAAAATTAGGCTATCCAACAGTTCACCTGCAACCTGCATTCAGAATGCGTGACAGGGTTAGGAACATTGTGAGAAGACTTAGACTACCTAAGTCATTTAAACTGGAACAAACATTTCAGTAAGGGGTGCATGCTGGAAAATATGATCATGATGGGCATGGTTTTGGTTCAAAGTGATGTGTATCAGTTTCAGGCCCCTTTATTAGGGTAAAACTAGGCCCTTAAAATAAGGCCTTATGAAATAGATATGGTATTGTGTGAAATATTGTTTTATTATTATTGATAACATATTCACTTAGGATCTCACTTGGTGAAGTCATTAGAACCAAAAATGGAGGAACGCAACAACCATGTCTCTGTCACTAACAAATACAGTCATGGGTGGTAACTGTACTATTTACTCAAAAGGCAAGGCACTCTGGGAAATATTTGAATAAGGCTTTACACTAAGCCAGGGTTCTCCAACCCTGTTTCTTGAGAGCTACCCTCCTGTAGGTTTTCGCTTCAACCCCAGTTGCAACTAACCTGATGCAGCTGATAAACCAGCTAATTATTAGAATCAGGTGCGCTAGATTAGGGTTGGAGTGAAAACTTACAGGATGGTAGCTCTCCAGGAACAGGGTTGGAGAGCTCTGCACTAAGCAGTGTGTTAATTTAACACTGTTCTGGTGTGTATATGGGTCCACAGACTCAACACTTTCAGTGTTGATTTAACACTCGGTCTAACACACTTGTGGACTAGTCTGAGTGATGTTGAAAGCTAATATCTGCAGTACAGTAGCTTGAAAATAAATTAGATAGGCATATACAATCAAAACAATATGGGCATTACCCTCACACTGATATCACTTCAATTCCATGTAATGTATTGTGTTATATGGTATATTGACTCCAGAGGAGACTGGTGGGAAGAGCTATAGGAGGACGGGCTCATTGTAATGGCTGGAATGGAATTAATGGAACGGTATTAAACTCATGGAAACCACGTTTGACTCCGTTCCAAAGATTCCATTCCAGACATTACAATGTGCCCGTTCTCCTATAGCTTCACCCACCAGCTTCCTCTGATTGACTCATGGCATACACATACACACATGTCATTCACTCACATGAACTGTTTGTCTGGTTGGTGTGTGTCCATGTGATTACATAGATGACTCTCCTGACCTTGTTGTGGTTTGATTTTGTGGTGTTATTGTTGTTGTGGCTGAACTGTTCAATTTAATTTAGCCTGTGGAAATGTTTCTGTTGTAGACCGCACACATGCCCACCAACACGTCAGACCATTACTATATAGTCCTAAGCCCTTTCCTTGGCTGTACTTTTGGTGTCGTTTGATCCTCTATGCATACAGGCAATGACCAACAGAATCAGATGAAGATAATAATTTCATTAGAGTAAACTTGGCTTTCATTTTCGCGCTTGCTGACCACTTTTCAAACCAATGTCTTAGAATCAGTAGGTTTCAAACATCATATTTCGTCTGTATTGACACTCAGTTCTCTTTTAGGGTTTAAAGTCTGTGTTGAGACTGGTCCTGTTGAGACTGGTCCTGTATAGATCAGCCTGGATCTAACAGCGCTGTAAACACGTTCTCATTCACAATGACGACTGCTCGCATTCATTTGGGTACATGTGTGCAAGTGTGTGTGTGTGTGTGTGTGTGTGTGTGGATGCTCTCTGCTCTTCGCTGATAGAGCTTGGCAGTTTCCTGTCAGTTAGGCAGAGTCACAGTCCATTCCCAGAACTGACACAGTGCCTTGTGTGCGTGTGTGTGTGTGTGTCTGTGTCTTTGTGTGGGTGGGTGGTTGGTTGTGTGTGTTGTTCTTTTCAAACACATGATCCACAAAGGCCCTATGTGGTGTTGCAGAGATGTGTAAACCCTAATTAGTCATGTTTTCCATTTGGTTGCCACTCCGCCTCCTTTTTCTTGGTACTGACAGCTTTCCTTTCCTGATTACTTTAGCCAAACTGTGGGAAAGGCATCCCTGACCCAAATACAACAGTGCAGAACTGTTGCTCTATGGAAAGGAAAATATCAAAATAGGTTGTTTTCATTTGTTTCTTTTTGTAATTATATAAAAGTCTTCAAGTATGGAATTATTCTATCATGTAGGCTTCTTCTGACATCAGATGTAAAGGAATGAAAGTTTGAAGAGAAGCCTATTCAATAATATAATATAATAGAAAAAATTATACGATTCCCCCGCATCTGATTTGAAATTAAGATGATTAATCAAGAGTGATGAAATCGTGGCCAAAACACAAGGCTGCAATGATGTGAAATACTGCCCCCCAGCTGGCGAAAAATTATTAGTGTGTCGAGGAAGGGCAGTTTACAATCTCCATGGTTACGATGTGGACAAGCTCCTGAAGTTTGACAGCTGGCTACAGTAGCTAGCTAGCTAGCTACCTTGCTTGCTAGCTTTCTCTCCATCCTCTTGCTATTTCTTTTTTAGATTAAGATTTTAAACCGGTGCAAAAATGAGTATGTCAGTAACTCGATCATTTAATAAGCAAAATGAAACCAACAAAGGTTTTAGGCAGCAGCGGGTACACGACTATCTGTATGGTGAGTTAGCTAACGTTAGCTAGGTAGCTTGTTTGCAATAATTAGCTAGACAGTTTGCAACCGAACATGAACTGTTTTTGTTGTGGATGTTGCATTACAGACCCCATATATACTGTATCCGGGGAAATGGACCATGCAAGGGCCAGCTTCAAGGCACATGCATCTGTGGACCGGGTGGTAAGTTAATTAACGTTAGCTAGCTAGCATAGCAACCTGGACCTAACCCTTACTTTCAAATGAACTTTCATGTGATTACAGATTCACAATCAATGCTCATCTCTCTCTTCATATGTCAGTAATGTCACATGTTTCCATGACTCTAATGCCCTAGCTAATAGGACTTTTCCTGACCTCCGGTTCCCATTAACAGTTTTTCTTATCATGCAAGGATTTATTTTGAGAATAAATTCAATTCACACCTGATGAAATAATGGTAATATTATTAACCCAATAATCTGACAGTAACCCTGTAACCCCGTGACCCGGTCACCGTAACAGCCCTAACCCTGTCAGAGATCTCTCTCCATGTCCCCCTGCTCAGAGGAAGGTTCCAGAGTATGGGTCCATGTTCAGTCACCTACCTCACCACCCTCGTTATGCCCTGCGTCTGGACACCACTGACCCTGTGCCCACTTTTATTGACCGCCGCTGGCGAGGGCACACAGAGCAGCACAGAGAGGCAGTTCAGCAGCTGGCAGGGTAACAAACATACATGCTATCCCTACAGAGGATAAATCTTTGGATACTATATTAGATAGATTGAAGTTAAATTCATACACTATATATACAAAAGTATGTGGACACCCCTTCATAGTAGTGGATTCGGCAATTTCAGCCACGCCCGTTGCTGACAGGTGTATAAAATTGACTACACAGCCATGCAATCTCCATAGACAAACATTGGCAGCAGAATGGCCTTACTGAAGAGCTCAGTGACTTTCAACGTGGCACCGTCATAGGATGCCACCTTTCCAAAAAGTCAGTTCGTAAGATTTCTGCCCTGCTAGGGCTGCCCCAGTCAACTGTAAGTGCTGTTACTGTGAAGTGGAAACGTCTAGGAGCAACAACGGCTCAGCCGCGAAGTGGTAGGCCACACAAACTCACAGAACGGGACCACCGAGTGCTGAAGCGCATTGTGCGTAAAGATCGTCCTCGGTTGCAACACTCACTACCGAGTTCCAAACTGCCTCTGGAAGCAACGTCAGCACAATAACTGTTCATCGGGAGCTTCATGAATAGGTTTCCATGGCCGAGCAGCCACACACAAGTAAAGTTTGGTGGAGGACTAATAATGGTCGCGGGCTGTTTTTTATGGTTCATGCTAGGCCCCTTAGTTCCAGTTAAGGGAAATCTTAATGCTACAGCATACAATGACATTCTAGATGATTCTGTGCTTCCAACTTGGTGGCAACAGTTTGGGGAAGGCCCTTTCCTGTTTCAGCATGACAATGCCCCTGTACACAAAGCGAGGTCCATACAGAAATGGTTTGTTGAGATCGGTGTGGAAGAACTTGATTGGCCTGCACAGAGCTCTGACATTAACCCCATCGAACACCTTTGGGATTAATTGGAATGCCGACTGTGAGCCCGGCCTAATCTACCCCACATTAGTGCCCGACCTCACTAATGCTCTTGTGGCTGAATGGAAGCAAGTCACCGCAGCAATGTTCCAACATCTAGTGGAAAGCCTTTCCAGAAGAGTGGAGGCTGTTATAGCAGCAAAGAAGGGATCAGCTCCATATTAATTCCCATGATTTTGGAATGAGATGTTCGACGAGCAGGTGTCCACATACTTTTGGTAATGTAGTGTATTTCATATTCTTGATTTACTTGATTATTAAGGCACATGTTTGTCTTTTTGTTTTTGTTAGGGTCATTCCTGGTGCTCAGTTTCAGGTCACAGGGAGCGAATACAGCAGCGTGTCAGGCATTGATCGTTGGAAGTTTTTCAAGTGGTGAGAGAGAGCACGTTCCCGTAATGCAGCAGCAGGACAGAGTGGGATCACATGGTTAAATAATGAATGGTGTCAGAGAGGACACCAGGGCCTGAAGGAAGACTCAGGCATCAAATCATGACAGCATCAGAGATCATTTGTGTCATGAGAGTCAAATTACACAACCGTCATTATCCTCGCTGTAGCACCAGCGGCATGGTCACTGGATTGAATGTACAAAATAGAACCAGTTAAAACCAGTAATTATGATTTTTGTGTCAGTTCAGATGGATTTGACTCTGTTTGAGTGTGTAGTGTTGAAGTAAAACAGTGATTGTTGAGCAAATGATGGATGCAAACGTCTTGTGAAATGTTTCTGATTATGTTTTCACTCATTCTTCTATTCCTTTCCCTCGCTCAGCCCCCTGATCCCCTTTGCACAGCAGGTTCCCCCCAATGTGGTCTTTGCATTGCCCAAGTAAGTCATGCTGGATACCGCCAAAGTCCCCTGAAAAATGCTGTAAACATATTAGGAACCCCTCTCTTCTCTATCTCTCTCTTTCCCTTCCTCCCTCCTCTCAGAGCTAACCCCTACTCTACAGTGGAGGGGGGTAATGAGCAGCTGCCCACTCCATTCCAGCGCACCATGGGAGTACAGACTGACTATAGGGACAGTGAGGCCCAGACGGACCCCTACACCCCTGAATACGTGGTACGGCCCGGGACGACCCCCCCAGAGCTGCTGACACTGGCCACACTGACATGGGGTGCATACGAGCTCAGAGACCCTACCGCTTCACCTCCTGTTGCACCTCTACAATACTTCTACGGCAGGACAGGCCATTCTGACCCATCCTCAAACATGTTCCAACACTACACAACTCCCTCCACCTTGACTCCTCTGACCCTAACCTCTCTCCCTCTACCCCCACAGGTCGTGGTCTTCCGGCGGGGCTGGCGGAGGTGGAGATGATTGAGCGAGCCAGGGTGAAGCGGGCGTGGGAGGCCACCCTGCCACCCATGGACGACCTGAGTCAACTGGACAAGAGGAAGAGGATGATGGACGAGATGGAGAGGAAGGAGTGGGCCTTCAGGGAGGACGAGATCCAGAAGTGAGTGAACGAGGGAATAAAGGAAGGAATGCACCACATGAGCAGCTTCAACTACTCTACCATCTTCTGTTTATTCTTCCCACCCTTGTCCACCCATCCCTGCTCTCCCTCCCCTTGCCCCACTGTCATTCTCCCCCTTCTACCCCAGGCTGCAGGAGGCTCGCCTGGCCCTACTGATGGGTCTACTGAGGCAGAGGGAGGAGGTTCAAAAAGAGGCCACGGTGGACAGGCTGGACCTCAAGTACTCCCAGCACCAGAGAGACAAGGAGAGCAAGCTCAGCAAGATACGCAATGACTACATCATCTGTAAGACAATGGGTGTTTCTCAATATGCGTTCTACCGTGCTCCACACTCTGATGCTCCGAGTGCATTCTCCGACGACGTTCTCTTGAGTACGTTCTTGTGAGGACGAGAGTGTGGAGAATGAATAAAACATTTTATTTGAGAAGCACTCGTACTCCCCCTACTGTATTACCTCACGCTTCACCTCCCCATTCCCCTCCCCATTCACTGCGCCACTCGGGAGCCCCTGGTTCGATTCCAGGCTGTATCACAACCGGCCGTGATTGGGAGTCCCATAGGGCGGCGCACAATTGTCCCAGCGTCGTCCGGGTTTGGCCGGTGTAGGCCGTCATAGTAAATAAGAATTTGTTCTTAACTGACTTGCCTAGTTAAATAAAGGTAACATTTAAACATTTAAAAACCTTCTTCCAGCCAGGACAATGGCAACAATAGACGAAACAAGATATACACATGGCAAACGTTTTACTTCATAATTATCAGCTAGATATGTACATTGTAATAATCTGGTTAGCCAGCTAGTTAAACAGGCAAAAATGACCTAAAACTAATGTTATGCAAGGTAGATGTACATTTTTGGTGGGTAGCTACCAATTCTTTGTGGCTAGCTAGGTATCCAGTTAGCACTATTGACTTACTATGGACTTGGGTCTTACTCATTCACTGAGCCGTCTTCCAGCCAGGACAATGGCAATGAGATGAAACAAGATATACACAAAGCAACCGTTTTACTTCATAACTATCAGATAGTTTAACAGGCAAAATGGACCTAAAACTAATATTATGTAAGATATATATCAATTCTTCGTGGGTAGCTAGCTAACAATGATTTGTGGCTATCTGGCTAGCTAACAGTAGTAGCTAGCCAGTTAGCCCTATTGACTTATTATGGGCTTGCGATCTACGGTACGTAGGCAGGTAAACATGCCAAAATTAACACAGCATGTATTTATTAACATATCAAGATCAAATGTTGTAGTCAGGCAACATATGAGATGTGAATAGGCAACATTTCATTCCGAAGTCGGAGTGTATTTTCTCTTGCTTCAGCTCAAATATTGGCTGCCATTGATTTAAAGAACTTTTGCGTAATTTTTTATGTGGTTGTGTCATATTTCTTTGCATACTTACCATTGAAGCTTGCATCGATGCATGCTTAAAAATATGTACAAACGGAGTACGCATTTGACAAGTGCTCCCTGCTCCATTTAGCATACTTTGATTTGGACTCATACTCCAACCCTCCCTTGCTCCAACTTGCGTGCCCGGAGCACGGTAGAATGCATTTAGAGAAACACCTAATGTCTGACTTCTGTCCAGGGCAATGATGCATAGAAGTTCTGCCTATTTACATTTTGCATGTCATAAATCACTGTGATATGCTCTGATAACTGTTTAAACAACTCTAACCTTCCCTTTACCTTTGATTTAATACGATGAGAACAGTGGGGTCTCTTTATCGTTCTCCTTCTATTCCACTCTTTCTCCCTCTCTCCTTCCCCCTTTCTCTCTCTCTTTTCCCTCCCTCTCTCTCCTCTCTCAGCGATGAGGAAGCTGACGGCGAAAAGAAAGAATGTGGAGAGAAAGTTGGAGCGCCGTGACATCATCAAGGACTACTCCAACTACTCATCTCAGACGTACGCCCCTCTGTCCCGCATCGGCCTGTTCCCCGACCGCCACTCCCAACGCAACGTGGTCAAGAGCCGCTACCTTGATACCTACGAAGGTTTGGGTGTGCTGATCTAGGATCAGTTTGATATTTTAAGATCATTATGAATAAGATTACATGGACATGGGGGACCTGATCTTAGATCAGGTCCTACTCTGAGAAAAATGAGTACAGACCTTGAATCTCAAAGTGATGGTGTTTTAATAGTGCCAGATCATCAAAATTGCTAAGGTACAGTAGAAGGTAGTGAGCTCCCACTTGTCTTCCTATCTGTCAATCACAGGTCTGCTGGAGCTGGAGGCGGGACTTCCGGTCTCAGTGACAGAGCCATGTATCAAAGCCCCCGTACCCAAAGTCAGCAAGGGCTTCGTCAAACGCTCTGCACGCAGAGAGATGGAGCTCATGAAGACACACCAGGTCACACACACAAACACACACACACACACGCACACACACACACACACACACTCAAAATATGTATAACACTCTTTTTGTCCCTCCATCTGCAGGCTCTGAAGGAGGAGAAGACTCGTGTGGAGGAGAAGAAGACCCTGCGCTTCCTCTTTAAGACAGAGAAACCTGTTCCTCGACCACAGACCCCCATGGTGGACGAGCCCCCTGAGGTACAGTACAGTCTGTCTCAACACACCGTCTGGAGATGTACACTATCCCCCCTCTCTCACTATGTGGTTTGTAGCACATCTCTTTAATTTCTCTTCACCCTGTCATTCCTGTGTGTCTCCAGGGGGACGAGGAGAGAGAGCTGGCTGTCATCTACTTGCAAAAGCTGCTGAGAGGAAGAAGCATTCAGAACCAGGTGTGTTTTTATGAAGAGAATGATAAGCTGATCATAGATCTGCACTGAAGACCAACCTCTATGACAAACCAACCTTTCTCTGTGTGTGTCTGATGTTGTGTGATGTCATCTCTGTGCGCCGCTGTCTATCTGTATGTGTGTGTGTCAGATGTTTGAGGGGAAGGAGAAGCGTCTGGAGCTGATCCAGGAGCTGAGAACCACTCACGCCCTGCAGAGAGAGGAGCAGGAGCTCCAGAGAGCAGACACACAGCGCACACTGGCTCTGCAGAGACAGAGAGACCAACACACACACAAGGTGAGAGAGGAAACACACACACACACACAGGTACAGACACCTCTTTCCTCCTCCATCCCTCACTCTCCCATCTTCCTGTCCCAGGCATCCTTGGTGGAGGGGTACCAGGCCGGTGTGGCAGGGGCGGAGCTTGTGGACATGCTGGACTTCCTATCGAAGGAGCTGATTCGCATACAGGAGGAACGCAGGATCCATGCCTTCACCCTATTGGCCGAGAGAGACAGGCGCCTCCGAGAGGCCGAGGAGAGTGGGCGGAGACAGATGGAGGAGAGGAGACGTAGAGAGGAGGATGAGATCTTCAAACAGGTGTCTGAGTGTGTGTGTGCGTGCGTGTATGTGTGCGTGTGTCTGCCTGCATGCGCACGCCCGTGTGTGTGTGTCGTGTGTGTGTGTGTAATGCCTGTACTGTCCTGTAGGTGATGAGGGTGCATCAGGAGACAGTAGATCTGTACCTGGAGGACATCATCCTGGGGACTCTAGACCGGACAGCAGACCAACAGGCCAGACAGGAGATACGCAGGGTGGCAGAGGAGGTCAACAACATCGCCTACGCCATGGAGGAGACGTAAGACACACACACACACACACACACACACACACACACACACACACACACACCAGGGTTTCCGTTAGCCGGTAATAGCTGGCTTTTGGCCTATAATACTTTTTGAAAAATTTAAATTGCCGCTGGCCAATTGTCCGGGAGAAGAAGAAAAATTCCATTGCGAAATAATGCTTTTTAGCCTATTCATTCATGGAAATACCAGTCGATGTAAATACATTTGACTGGTCATGCTTATCGGTCTAGAGGTTAATTTGCATAATTTAGTGGAATTAAATTGGCGCATGTAGGCTACAGTATATTCGTTATGTATCTTATTTATCACACGCATACAACATACAGATACAGAGCCTTTGAGCTGAAAATCTGTCAGACAGCGCGAGAGCTGCTGCTACAGCATCTCAAATGACAACGGAAGGCAGGCTTCATCAGCGCGTCACACACCATGTTGCAGTGAGCTGGAGGCGGTAGGCTATGCATTTTGAAAACATATACTTAATTGTTTGAAACCTGAACGTTTTAATACATATTATGAGGCATGTCTTAACTTGCTTTAAAGTAGCCTATTAGATCTCCTCTCTTTCTAAATTTCAAACAGATATTTTCATCTCTGTCGCATGAAACAACTAGCATGTGCGGTGCCCTTTAGATATGGAACAAACATATGTGCATAGCCTACTGCCCTGTGTGCGCATTGCTGTGCTTATAATGTGAAGAAATAATAGTTTATTAACATTTTAAGCTAAACGTTCTTATCTGTTGCACAGGCTCATTGCTTTTTAATGTTTTTTTTTATGTAACCTAGGCCTACTGGCCTACACAACTGTCCCAGAGGCAGTTTGGAATAGGCTATTTCTTTCTCGACAAGCTGACCTATAGAATAGGTATAGGTTTCTACTATGGGGGATAGTATATTAACAGGCTAGTGATTTTGCTGTTCGTTACTGGTCTTGTTGGCTGAGGAAAAGTAAACATGGACAGTTATTCTAACATCTTCAAAGTGCACATCAGAATTCGGTAAGAAGGACCGCACATCGTTGCATCCTCGACCTGCATGTTCTGTTAATATGAATTACCATATTCTAAATGTGATTTCTGTCACTCCGAGCACCATGGGTGGATGCCCTAATCGGGTGATGCACCCAATGCATATGGGTCCGGCAGATTTCTCAAATGTCCGGTAAATTTAAATGTTGCCGGTCAACTGTCCGGCGCCACATTTTCCTAACTGAAACCCTGACACACACGCCATCTAACATACCACCCATACACACTGTATCTCTGTATCTTTGTATTGCAAATTGTAAAAGCTGTCCCCTTCTCTGTGTCTTTCTGTGTGTGTGTGTGTGTAGTCGGAGCAGCCTGCAGTCAGAGGAGATCGTAGCAGAGCTGGTGTACAGCTTCCTGATCCCTGAGGTGCAGAAGATCAACGTCAGAGACAGAGGTGGGACGTTTATTCCCAAAGCACCCAGTACCATCACATACTGATAATACATGATAGCATAGTAGCACAGTAATAATAACATAACAATAGTTTAGTCTCTTCATCTACCTTTCTCTCTGTCTCTCCTTCCCTCTCTCTCTCTCTTGCTCTCTCTCCCCTCCCCCTTTCTTCTCTCTCTCCCTCCCTTCATCCCTGCCTTCCTCCAGTGCGTCAGAGCCAGCGCAGGCACCTCCAGGCGGCTCACCAGATCATCCACGGGGGTGAAGAGAGCTCCGTGGCCCCTCCTCCCGGCCCCTCTGGAGCCCAGCGCCCCCCCTCGCCCTCGGACAGGGCCTCCAGCCAGCTGCTGGAGGAGATGCTAACCCATGTGGAACAGGAGCTGGAGGGAACAGGCAGGGGAGAGGAGTAGCGCAGGGAGGCGGGAGAGGCACAGCAGAAAAGAACCAGCTGAGAATAGATTAATTTCGCAACAGTGGAGAAAACACTTAGTTTTTCTTCAAGCAATATGCAGTGTTGTGCTTTTGCTTAAATAAAACTGAGATTGTATTTCATTATCAGTGTGTTTGGGTGGTTTCTCGTGCTGCGCTTGATATTCAAGTGAGTTGATAAGAATTCAATTTTTTCATGGTCATTGGGTCAGAAGTTGACTAGGTCAGATATATGTGTTGTATGGGTCATGTTACAACAGGCTACTACAACAGGCCACTGTCTGCAAAACATGTTGTCCTATCATGAGTATACCGTGTGGGGGAGGCTGCGGTCGTCACTAGTTACCACAGCCACAAAGTCATAAACCCCGCCTATTTCTACAATTTATCTTGTTCAAATGTTATTTGAAACCTAACCATAACCTTAGCCATAAGCTTATGCCTAACCCTAACCTTAACCTTGAATGAAGACCAAAAAGCGAATTTTTGTTTTCATTATTTTTTATGACATAGCCCATTTTGACTTTGTGGCTGTGTTATCTAGTGGAAACCGGAGGCTGCATGTGGATAGGGGACCATTGGCTGAGAAATCAAATCAGTTAAAATAGTCTGTCTCCAGTCAGTTGAGAGTGTGCATTTAGCCTTGTTACTGTAGACAGCACAACTAGTAAACTTAAATTACTACTGCAGTGATTTTGTTGTATTCAACTTCTAATGAGGCGTTAATGTCACTTTACCATCCTTGACCATAACCAGGAACTGAGGGCGCTCTGGAGAAGAAGGAAGCGGCTCGGTGAGGAGAGCTTAAGTTCTCAATGAGTGGTCTGGATACACTTTCACTTGCAAACCGTAGATACAGAAGTGCTTTCTTCAAATAGTCATTGGCCACGGAAAGTCGCCGTCCAAGACATGGGGACCTGTTTTTCATGCTGTCGTGTCTATGTAGGTCAGTCTTTCATTCTGTATTTTTGCTGCTAAACGGAGAAACTGATTCCACAAAATGTGCAGGAATAGCTGAAGAAGAACGCTCAACTCCGTTCTCTTATGTCGAATATTGATAACTAACTGGTCGCGCCATTTGCTAGCAACAACATTAGCTATGATTCCAATGATTCCATTAACTTGTCCAGTGATTTTTGTTGTTGTTGTCGACATTTAGAAAGTTCGAATAGAAAATAGATGGGACAATTGCCTGCTAGGGTGCGTTTCCAATTGTGACCGACCACCTCGATTCGATCTTATGTAGCAAAATTTGATTTATTAAAAAAAAAAAGTACATTGGATAAAAGTACAAACTCAGAACTATAAAATGGTATATCATACAACTATAAAATGGTATATCATACACTGCAGTTGAGGAACAATGGGAAAGTAATTCTGCTTTGAAAGTTGATAAACTTGGTACCCCACTTTTGAGAAAATGGCTGTTGAATGTTTTGGTACACCTACTGGAGAGCTCTTCTTTGTCTACACCCATTAAGCATCATTCACACCCTCTTAAGCCTTAGCTCCAACAGATCTCTTTAAGGATTCACATGAGGCCATGTGCTAAACAGAGTGAGTAGTTTAGTAAACAATCAAAGGTTTCAATACTAAAAGTGATAGAAGTTATAGCCTACAATAAGGAAAAACTCCTGATAAAAATACACTTTATCTAGTCTTTGGCCTATATCCTAATCTGACTTTGGTGTAGGTCATGTTGTTGTTCACATTAGTCTCTGGTAAGCACACACTATATCAAATACAATCTAAGTTTATTTGTCACATGCACAGGATACAGAAGGTGTAAATGTTACAGTGAAATGGTTACTTGCATACTAGCAATATCAAAAACAGAACGTTTCCAGAGTAAAATATTTTATAAATATTTTATAATTATTAGATGACGCTTACCCGACACACTTGTCTAAATTGATGGGTCATGTGAAGGAAATGCTATATCCATATTGTCTAGACATGTACACATGTCCATGAAATACAATAGATGGCCATAATCACCCCCAGACACACCTGGCTAACTTGATGGGTCATGTAATCATCTTTTGTTTAGACATGTAGCTAGCTAGCTAAACAATGAACCGGCATAATCCCAACTCATACTACTACCAATACAAACATTGTCATAGCTGTAGTATGAATCTGCAGGTAGCTAAAGCTAACAACTAGGTTCAATGTTAGCTATCTAACATTAGGCTATAACTAGCAGTGCAAATGGATTTCTGATTAGAATAATATTACTACACAGATCATACACGTAATGTTAGGTAGCTTAGTGGTTAAGAGCGTTGTGCCAGTAACCGAAAGGTCGCTGGTTCTAATCCCCGAGCCGACTAGGTGAAAAATCTGTCGATGTGCCCTTGAGCAAGGCACTTAACCCTAATTGCTCCTGTAAGTTGCTCTGGATAAGAGCGTCTGCTAAATGACGTAAATGTAAATGTTAGCTAGTGAGCCAGCAAGCTGACGTTGGCTAGCTAGCTAACAGTACGCTTTAATTGCAATGAAAACGACTTTCTAACAAAATTATAAATGTATAATATCTGAAAATGTAGCTAAACTCTTACCTGTATGTTGGATGAACGCTTCACGGCAGACTGGAACCATTTAACTCAGTTTTGTTTGTAGCCCCATCTTGTTTGGCCAGCGTTGTATCAAGTCACTCCGGTTCACACTGACCGTGGCGTGTCCATCACTTTTTCCAACTGATCTGTCGATAGCGCCTGCAAAATTCAGGGCGTCAATATTGTTGAGAAAAGTAGCACAACTTTTGTAGTTCTCGATGGCTAACGTTAGCTATATCTTTCAAAAACAGCACGGTAGAAAGGACTATCAACACATACTGAGCAGCTCACGTTATAGACAGAAGCATACTACATGGCAGACCAATACAAAGTCTCACAGAATGTCCAGCTCATCCATTATCTTAGCCAATCATGGCTAGTGGGAAGGTTCCTGTCTTTTTTTCAGTGGATAAACCAACTAGACTCTTAATTTAACAATTGTATTCATATTTACAGATGGAATACACGTTTGTTATTAAGGCACATTAAAGTTTACATGTTCCAGAAGGCATTTCTGCCAAAAAACTCATTTTGATAAAAATAAAAAATGTTTACGCTCAAATGCCTCTTCTGTGAAGTAGTGACGTGCGACATACGTCTAGTTTCCTGAAATGAGTCACATTTAACTATCTTGTGTCGATAAAAACGGCTGGACATAATGACGTCACACAAAAATCACGTGCCCCGCGTACCTTCAAAATGATTCGGCAATCATCATTTATTCGAAAAACACCTTTTCCAACACCTTTTTTATTTGCAATAAAGAAAGTTAGACAAAAGAAACATCCACCCGTGTCAAACTGATACAAATGTTGTCGATCTTTAGAAAGTTACTCCTACAGTGCCTTGCAAAAGTATTCATCCCCCTTGGCGTTTTTCCTATTTCATTAGAACCTGTAATTTAAATGGATATGGATTTGGATTTCATGTAATGGACATACACAAAATAGTCCAAATTGGTGAAGTGAAATGAAAAAAATAACTTGTTTCAAAAAATTCTAAACAATAAATAACGGAAAAGTGGTGCATGCATATGTATTCACCCCCTTTGCTATGAAGACCCTAAATAAGATCTGGTGAAACCAATTACCTTCAGAAGTCACATAATTAGTTAAATAAAGTCCACCTGTGTGCAGTCTAAGTGTCACATGATCTGTCACATGATCTCAGTATATATACACCTGTTCTGAAAGGTCCCAGAGTCTGCAACACCACTAAGCAAGCGGCACCACCAAGCAAGCGGCACCATGAAGACCAAGGAGCTCTCCAAACAGGTCAGGGACAGAGTTGTGTGTGGAGAAGTACAGATCAGGGTTGGGTTATAAAAAGATATCAGAAACTTTGAACATCCCACGGAGCACCATTAAATCCATTATTAAAAAATGGAAAGAATATGGCACCACAACAAACCTGCCAAGAGAGGGCCGCCCACCAAAACTCACGGAACAGGCAAGGAGGGCATTAATCAGAGAGGCAACAAAGAGACCAAAGATAACCTGAAGGAGCTGCAAAACTCCACAGCGGAGATTGGAGTATCTGTCCATAGGACCACTTTAAGCCATACACTCCACAGAGCTGGGCTTTACGGAAGAGTGGCCAGAAAAAAAGCCATTGCTTGAAGAAGAAAAATAAGCAAACACGTTTGGTGTTCGCCAAAAGGCATGTGGGAGACTCCCCAAACATATGGAAGAAGGTACTCTGGTCAGATGAGACAAAAATTGAGCTTTTTGGCCATCAAGGAAAACGCTATGTCTGGCGCAAACCCAACACCTCTCAACACCCTGAGAACACCACACACAGTGAAGCATGGTGGTGGCAGCATCATCCTGTGGGGATGTTTTTCATCGGCAGGGGCTAGGAAACTGGTCAGAATTGAAGGAATGATGGATGGGGCTAAATACAGGGAAATTCTTGAGGGAAACCTGTTTCAGACTTCCAGAGATTTGAGACTGGGACGGAGGTTCACCTTCCAGCAGGACAATGACCCTAAGCATACTGCTAAAGCAACACTCGAGGGTTTAAGGGGAAACATTTAAATGTCTTGGAATGGCCTAGTCAAAGCCCAGACCTCAATCCAATTGAGAATCTGTGGTATGACTTAAAGATTGCTGTACACCAGCAGAACCCATCCAACTTGAAGGAGCTGGAGCAGTTTTGCCTTGAAGAATGGGCAATAATCCCAGTGGCTAGATGTGCCAAGCTTATAGAGACATACCCCAAGAGACTTGCAGCTGTAATTGATGCAAAAGGTGGCTCTACAAAGTATTGACTTTGGGGGGGGGGGGGGTTAGTTAGTTATGCACGCTCAAGTTTTCTGTTTCTTTGTCTTATTTCTTGTTTGTTTCACAAGAAAAAATATTTTTCATCTTCAAAGTGGTAGGCATGTTGTGTAAATCAAATGATACAAACCCCAGAAAAATCCA